CTGCAACATCTGCATTTTGTAAGACAGAATGTTACTTCTGGAAGGGAAGACAGTTTTCTCCTTCTCTTGAAATGGAGGCTCCCCGTGGACGTAACGCCTCTGCTGCCAACGCTGACCCCCCAGTGTTCTTCTTGTCTGGTATCCCTGGCCTGGAAGCCTTCCACATCTGGATCTCCATCCCTTTCTGCTCCGTGTTCACTGTGGCCATTCTGGGCAACACCCTCCTCCTGTATGTGATCAAGACAGATGTCACTCTCCACAAACCCATGTTCTCCTTCCTCTCCATGCTGGCCTCTACCAATCTGGTCTTATCCCTCACCACCATGCCCAAGACGCTCTGCATCTTCTGGTTCCGGGACAGGAAGATCAGCTTGGACGCCTGCCTCGTCCAGATGTTCTTCCTCCACACTTTTGCCATCATGGAATCCGCCGTGCTCTTGGCCATGGCCTTCGACCGGTACATCGCCATCTGCCACCCTCTGAGGTACAACACCATCCTCACCCGTCCGTTGATCGCCAAGGTCGGGCTGGCGGCCTTGACGAGGGCCGTGCTCCTGATGTCTCCTTTGCCCTTCCTCCTTCGCCGGCTGCCCTACTGCGGCTCCCACGTCATCTCCCACTGCTTTTGTGAGCACATGGCGGTGGTGAGGCTGGCCTGCTCCAACACGCGGTTCAACAACATCTACGGGATCGTCGTGGCCTTCTCGGTGGTGGTTCTGGACCTGACCTTCATCAGCCTGTCCTATGCCAAGATTCTGAGGACCGTCTTCGGCCTGGCTTCGAAGGACGAGCAGCTCAAAGCCTTCGGAACCTGCGTCTCGCACCTGTGCGCCATATTGGTCTTCTACACTCCGGTGATTCTCTCGTCCATCATACATAGGTTTGGTCACCATGTCACTCCCCCCACACACATCCTCCTTACAAATTTCTACCTGCTCTTCCCACCCATGATGAACCCCATCATCTACGGGGTGAAAACCAAGCAGATTAGAGACAGAGTCCTCCACCTCTTCCACCGGAAAAGCTTCTGAAGGGCGAG